GGGGGGAATGGGGGTGGGTGGTGGTGACTGAGTGCTCCAGTTTCTCATTCTCACCAAGGAGTATGACAAGAAAAAGAACGGAGGGAGCTTGTACTTGCCATCAGGCATAGTACAGATCAAGAGAAGATTTGATAAACATCTGGAATTAAAAAAAAAAAATCTGTATCTATTTCATTGGGATGAGAGGAACAAGATCAGGCCAGAGCTAAGACTGTGCTATTTACTGAGCTACATTGTTATTCCTAAGACCAGCCCACAGCTCTCAGCAGCAATGACACTACTTCTTGCCTCCTCCTTTATGGGATACTTTGTTGTCCTAGCTTCCAGAACCTCTCTCCTGGTTTCACTTCTTGGGCCATTCCCACACTGTGCTAAATATTGACATCCTGTGGTTTTCTTACCAGAGGTCCCAGTGAAGAGAAGAGTGTGTTCACACATGTGATGTCCCAGGACAGATAAAGAATAGCTAAGGAGAATCCTTGGGCACCAAGAACTGAGACTCCAGGCCCCTGACTGCATGCCTTCCCTCTATGTGCCTGTGATATGACCAAGGCGCCGACCATGTACAGGTGAAGCTGGGACTTGTGCCCAGGCTGCCGGTCATACTGTGCCCCACTGGTCCACTTGTCAACCTGCTCCTTAGATTTTTCAAAACTTTAGCCAAGTATTATTTACTGGGAATACAGTTGTTTTTTTTTTTTACTAAAATGCTGAGATAATATACATCACTGACTTAAAAGCTAATAGGGGTGATCTCTTAAGATATTCTTTTCAACTTTTGGATAAAACTAGAAAGGAGGCAATATTAGAAGCAACATTCACACTGGAAAAATACCATGTCTTCACAACATCACCATTGAGAAACAGCGCTTGCCTTTATCTTGTTCTCTTCAGTTGAGATGATCTGTGCCCGAAGCCAAGCATCCTCCTCAGCGTTTACAGCCAGCAACTGCCCCACATGCACAGTCTGGACGGGCATGACTTTTGGGTTCTTACTGTAATACTCCTTCATCTCATCTTCCATTAATTCCTGAGCGGCAGAATAGTCTTTGCCCACATACCTTCAAGGAGAAGAACAAAAATGAAGCAGCCTAACACGATAGGGATTCAGCGACGTTACTGTTTTTTTCCTACTGATTCCATAGCAGGGAGGAGGACATGCATTAATTAAACACTTTCATCTTACTAAAGAAAAATGTAATGTGGCAGTCTCATGTACAACCAGACCCAGGTCCAGCGAGCCACATAGCAGAGCAAGTGAGCGCTAACAATCCAGAGAAGTTAGTGGTCAGGGAGTCTTGGAGGGAAGATGAGGCTGAGAGAAGTCTCCAGGGCGGGCAATAGGAAGATGTGGTGGAGAATGGAGACACCAGTGGGGACCAGATAAGCAAGGGCTGATGTAAGATCTTATCTAAGGCTGCTGGAGGTCTTTTAAGATTACTCAGAAGAGAATCTAGATGCTAGTTTTGACCAAAGGTATGTCTGAACTAGGTGCATGCTCTGAAAACCAACAAAATTTTACTAGAGGAAAATAAATATGCTTAAACACAAACAGCTGACAATCCATCTCCCCTAACCTACGAACACAGGTGAATAAGCTATCACAAAATGTTGAGTTCTGGTATTCTTACAAAAGATGACACGTTCTAGCTAAATACCTCTTAAATTACATGCTTCTGAGAAGTATTTTATTCCGAATTTGTTCTTATTCCTTTTTATAATTTCTTGCTATTCACAACTGCAATCACATCTTTCCAGGTCATGTTATCAAAATACATTGTTTTCTACCACAAGTAGGCTATTGTTTTCTTGCCCTGTAGCCCTCAAAGACAATTCCATCACAGGTCTCCTTCTAGGATATCAATCCGGAAAATCAAGTTTAGCTCCTGTAAGAGGAACTGTCTCAACATCAGAAGGAAGCGATTTAGCTTGAGCTCTACAACACCATAAGTACCTCCCCAGGGAGAGGGGAGATTGCGAACCAAAACTTGTTCTTTGTAGTCAAGTCCAAATGGTTCTAAGAAGCTTTAAGGACTGACCACCTCTACTGAAGTCTTAGGACTTATCCAGATTCCTGCCAGCCTTTGGTGAGAACATCGGAAATTATAAATGTTCCCATCCGATGCTGGAAGTTTGGGCTGTGACAATGGCACCAAAAACTATTGGTAACAGATGCCAAAGGATCCCGATAAGGAGGGCAGGCTCAGATTTATAATGTGGCATGGTAGGAGTTAGTGTTGAGCTCATTGGTATTCTTCTTTTACCTTAATTATGGAGTGTTTTCATGAGGTCCTGATAACTATCAGCAGAGCAGAGGACATATAGGTAATCTATTCCATACTGGAGGAAAAAAAATTTAAAAAGTTCTACACAAAATGCAAAGAACATCTTCTGGAGCAACCAAGTATAACGTGCTTAGTATTTACTCCAGAAACAACTGCAAAAGCTTAGTCATACTCTGTCATTTAAGTTTAGCGAGCTTTACGAATAGTAAGGCACTCTGCCTGGAATGCAGCTGTCTCTTGGCTCTGAAGCCCTCCAGAGTATCAGCAACTCTGTCCAGGTGCCCATTTCCTAGGATCTGGAGTGCTGCTATAGCCTGGTGCTTCACTGGCAGACGTCTGGGCTGCAGCCCAGCACAGACTCCTACCCAGGAGGAAGGTGATGAGACTCAGGCAGCTTCTGCTCTGTAGCAAACAGCAGAGAATAATGGCTACAGGCGTGGGTGGGGCTCAGGGATGATGTTATAGTTGGTGTGCTAGTGAGCACTGACCCTCAGGTCACACCACACCCTTAGGAGAAAAGCTTTATAGAGCTGCTACAGTTTTACATAGTTACTACTACAGTTTGGACCTATTCCTCCAATGAAGCTTTTATTTTTTTTTTAATTTGAAGGTCCACTTGGCCAAACCATAGGGACATTTTGGTTGACATTTGGTTTAAGAAGCCAGAATTGGCCCTCCCTGGTGGTGCAGCAGGTTAAAGCACTGCACTGAGAATCTAAAGCCACTTCCACATGAGTTCGATTCCCGCCTGCCCTGGAGGTGACCACATGGCGTGGCAGACCTCTCCTGACCCGCCCGCTGCTCCCCTCAGCAGTGTACTTCGTCAATCTGCCTGTTCTGCTCCCCACTCTGTCTCTGGTGAAGCCTCTCATCGCCCCTGAGCCTCTGGCCTGTACCCCAGTTCTATATGTACAAATAAATAAATCTTTAAAAAAAAAAAAAAGAAGCCAGAATTTCATTTTGTGTCAGTCATATTCTGAGCTGTGACCAGTTTCCATTCTTTTTATCCGCTCAGAAATTGGAAATTATTCTTTCAATATTTTCAATGTATTCTATATTTTCTCCAAAGTCCATGTCACGTGTCTACAGCTGGAATAGCTTTTGTATTTCCAGCTGTCACTAGCCAATTTATTCAACACTCTTTCTCCTAGGCAGTAATACTATTGTGCTCCAGACTAAGTAGTGTTACTTACCAGATGGGTGGTTTGCCTTTTCTACTGACAAGGTATTGCTTTTGACATAGTTACTATTTGCTTTTGACTTCCCCCCGACACACACACATTCAGACTACACATCATCAGTTTTTAAAACTGCTAGTATTTTTATCTCACAGAAATAGTTGCATATTTTGAACATTTAACAAATATTATGAACATATTATCCTACTTAATTACAGTTGTATAGAGCTATACATATTTTATTCTTTGTTAACCTCCAGCATTCATGTGAAGAATAACCAACAACAGTATCTTGGCCTCTTAAAGAATTAGAAATTAACTTACCTGACAACTACTTCATTTGTGTTGCTCAGTTCAACCACCAACACAGATGGGGATGCCTCAGTTGGAATGACTAACGGAGGGACTGTTACATTCTCGAAAAAGGCATTAGCACATTCGGCAATGTTTTCCTCTATTTGAAGATATTCTTGTTCAACCATAGTCTTGATGTCATAATCACCACGTGCATGCCCTGCATCCTTCAGGAGTTTGTCAGTGGGCAATGGAAGTTTAGCATAGAGAATGGCCTTCTGGGGATTTCCAGAAATGTAGTCTATGGTGCATACATCAGAAAGGAAGGCAAGATTTTTTAAGGCATTCTCGGGAATTTTCACTTTGTACGTGTCCTCAAATGCTTTGGGGAGTGCACTGGCCCAAAGACCACTTGAGTACTTCACCAGCAGCTCTGCAACTTTTTCTTTGAAGTCCTCTGGCATAATTGCTGGGCACCCTTTTGATGGCGGTATTTGCTTTGGAGGAGGTAGTTGGGATGGAGGCACTTTTTCAGCGTCCTTTTCATTTCTCAAAGGCTGCTTTCTCTTAGCTGGATAAAGAAGTAAATCTTGACCACCACCACCAGGTTTTTCCACCTGGAATTTTTAAATAAAGTACATGATAGATATTTCCATGGCTATAAATACCCTGAAAACACATGAATGCATTCTAAATTTGAGTGTGATGCTTTTCTCAAATAATAGCTGCCTTCACCTGCCACATTTCAGCAACAGAGAACTAAAATAGTATTAATTCCCTTTGTGAGCCATCTGCCCTCCAATAACCCTAGGAAATCATAAGTAGTTCTGTCCTGCAAACTGAATATCTCCTTGTCATATCCATAACTGACTGAATACAAGGCAGAATCAAGCTCTGAAATAAACCACTGGGCAGAAAGCCAGTTTAGATAGGGAGTATTTAAACAAAACTGAAGCATTCTCTCCTCCTTGCAATATCCTTCAGCTTATCATTACCTAGAAAAACATTCCAGAGATAAAGTTTTTAAGCCACAATAGTAAAATTTTTTTGACCAAGAGTTGAAAATGTCAGCCACTTGTGTGCCATTCAATCCTAATTTTGTTTGCCTAAATTCCTAAGAGGCCTGGTGTGATAATATCTTTTGATATAAAATAAGAAAGAGAAACTGATGCATGGCATGTTCCTCCCAAGTTTTAAGCCTTTATACTACTACAATAGGGATTAAAAAAAAAAAACTGTAGGCCATAGCCTAATGATGCAGCTACATGAGTAATTTTTGTATTTTTAAATGGCTGGAAAGAATTATTTCATGACAAAAATTATATGAAAGTCAGTGTAAAATAAAGTTTTGTTGGAACACAGTTATCAGAGTTTAGTTAGTGTTCACTGACCTCTTAAATGTTCTTATTTTGTCCTTTCCTATACAGGTATTTCTTAGGTGGAAATTAAGCTCCCAGGAGGACATCCTACACCACTCGGGCAATATTACACAATTATGAGAATAATATGCTGGGTGGGTAGCCTGTTAGTAAGAACAGTGACTTCTTAACTTCATTTCCCATTTAGGAAAAGAATAGGTATACAAAGAAAGAATGTATTATTACTTGAGAAAAGCTTTAATGTTTAAAAGAGAGTTAATATGACATTAATAGACTCCTTTTAGTCTGATTTTATACCCTAGGAGATACATAAGAGGAAAATAAAATTAATATAAGTATAAAATGTTAGGGTTTCTTCCTCATATTCAGTTGTCAATGTGTGCTTAATTAAGTTTCAGGACTGAAAAAAAAAACAAAACAAAAACCTAAAGCACCAGTAAAAGCAGCAGTGACCAAGTCAGTGTTTAGCATCCACAGATATTCCCTGTCCACACCATCGACCCCTGCTGACACCTGTGACAATCTGGATGGCAAGTTAAATGATATTGACTATCTAAGTATTAAATTTTAACTCTTAGTGTCACACACACACATATATATGGGACATACCTCATTTTTTTTCTCAAGGAGTCAGACTGTTTTATTGAACTTCATATTATATATTTTTTAAATATATATTTTTTTCACATCATTCTTCATTTTGTACATTTTTTTTTTATAGTCCCCCTGGACTTCCCACCACCAATTCACTTATGTGCCATCAGTCATAGTCCCTGTGCTTCTCCTGCCCAGTTTTGATCCTAGTCTCTTCTCCACCCCCTGTAAAATGTCTCTGATTTATAGCTGTTTCTTGATTTTAGTTTTTACCTTATTACAATTATATTTTCCCCGAATCTCTATCCTCCTGCAGTGAGTGAAACTACTGACATTTTTATTTTTCTTTCTGACTTATTTCAGTAAGCATGATCCTTTCCAGTTCCATCCATGTTGCTGTAAATGGCATGAGTTCCTTTTTGATTGCTGAGTAATATTCCATTGTATATATGTACCACATCTTCTTGATCCAGTCATTTACTTTTGGACATTTGGGTTGATTCCATATCTTCCCTATTTAAATAGTGCAGCAACTCAAGCTTCAGACAGCTGCATAGAGCTGCTCTTCAGCCTATTGCACCAACAGAAGTTATGACTATTAAGGCTACTTAGCTAATTCAGAGTAAGGGCAACATTTTGGGGACCTTTATTGCAGAAAAATGCTTAAATATATGGAATTAGTCAACTTCCAGAATGTGTCAGTGGTGTGCAAGTCAAGCTATGCTACTCAACATATAAAGTGGATTGTGACCGCCTTACACCACAGAGGTCAAGCTACCATTTCTGGCAATCCTCAGAAGATTCTGGCATCTAATATGCCTTAAATTCTCCTTAGAATTCTGAGAGGTCTTTACCTCTTCCTTTATAGCTTCACCTGTGTTGCAAACTTAAATTCTTGAAGTTAGGGGACTCACTGGTGGTGCAATGGGCTGAAGAGCAGCTCTATGAAGCTGTCTGAAGCTTGAGTTCAATACCCCATCAGGGAGGTGACCCACTTGGCGAGGCAGACCTCTCCTGACTCACCCACTGCCTCCCTCAGCAGTGTATTTCAGTCTATCTGCCTGTTCTGCTTCCTGCTCTGTCTCTGCTGAATCCTCTCACCCCCAGCATCTCTGGCCTGTCAGTTCTTGTATGCATAAATAAATTAAATCTTAAAAAAATAAATTCTTGAAGTCAAGCTTCTTTGAGACTATGAAGGCTCATCTGCTAAATCTGCAGCAAGGGCTGCTGAGGGAAACTTACTGTTTCTTATGTAATTAGAATTTTCTTGAGGATTTTGTAACAGAACTGGTATTGTCCAATTAATTAAAAAAGCTTTCCAAAGCAGTTGCATGGATCTCATCCAGCCACAGTTTTGTTTATACTGGTTCTTTGCATTGAAGTGTTAAGTTCAAAATTTCATTTTAAATCGTCAACACCCAAAAGAAACCTTGTATAGTAAAATCACACATGCCTGAAGGTCCTGCTTCCCAGTATTCCAAACTTGAGCAATGGCTTTGTGAATAAAGATCCCAAGTATCCAACAACAACAGAAAAACAAGAGTCAGTAACCTTAATTTAAGATTACTTATTATGGTTAGTCAGTTCACAGAAAGACTGGTAGTCTATCTCCTTCAGAGCTCAGTTTTTGTTGTCGTAAGAGCTGTGTCTTTTTGTACTAAGACTAAGACATGAAGGAAAAGTTAGACAATGGAGAGGAGGAAATGGTCTCTAAGGACATCACTGAGCTACAATGAAGATAAACTGATAATTTTGAATCAGAAGCCTGTACAGGGTATGGCTTATGCTATTGATACAGGCAGGAAAACACACTGAGCCAAGCAAAGCTCTTCCATGCCAATGCTCCCTGCCACTTACATGGCTACCTTCTCTGTGCCAGTGTACTGAGGCTAGTGATGCTATCTATGCCCAAGACATTCAGAAATGGTTATCGATTTTAGGTGCTTCATTTAATAAAGTGCAAGTGCTTGGGGCACAGTCCAGAGATTTTTCTTCATGATCCAGAGGTATTTTTTTTTCTTCATACCTATCATGCCATGGAATTCATAGGGAATGGGTTTCAGCAACTCCTTTCCATGGTCCTCACACAAAGTGTGCTTCTCTGGGTAGACCAGGCTGGTGCTTCAGCTGAATCCAAGGACCTTCTTTCTGGCTTCTTTTTTCTGTTGATCATCATTTTCCTTCACACATGTCAGAAGTCATATCAGGTCTTGGAGGGCTTAAGCTCCTCATAGATTCTCTTGGCAAGAATCCTGCCCTTTGTTTACAACAATGCCAACTCCGTGCTGGGTTAACACTATAAACTCCCAGTTTTGCCAAGGTAACATTTGTGGGTGATTTCTTTTTGAACAGTGCCCACTCCCTTGATATCTACAATATCACCTTGCAGAATCATGTGCATGTGGCTGATAGAACAGCAATACAGCAGCTGTCTCTCCTCCTTCCCTTTGTGTGGTCAATTTGGCAATACTGAAAAATGGCCATTCTGGCTAGATGGTTTCACAGGGATTTTTTTAAATCAAAAGTACAGGCTAAAAAGCTACTAGTAGAGCGTAACCACAACTGCAAACCATCTATTCAGAGAAACTCTTTCTCCATCATCTTGGAGAACAGTTTTATAGAACAACACATTTCAAGGCTAATACCTTCTTTCACTCCTACCCCTTTTTCTACTAAGGATTTTTCTCTGCAACAATTTATATTAGTTTATATTAGGATAATCCTTAAGGTGCATCTTCAGTGTGGCTCAAGGGTTCCTCAGGAGGAAATGGAGTCTTTTCCTGCTTAATGTATGCAGAGCTTCTGGGGGATGATCTTACTTGCCGGCTGGGGCCTTCCCTGTGCACTGGAGGGGAAGAAGCGACTGTCAGTCTGTTCTCATTGCTTTTGGTAAGGAAGGGAGATCTGTTCCTTAAGATGGCAGAAACTCACCTTATTTGAAAGTTTTGTTTTGTTGTTGTTTTTAATAATTTCAGCCATCCACTTTGTTCCTCCCCCCCCAATATAAACTTTGTCCTTTCGTCTTTAGCTTTTCTTTTGATTTCAGAGATAAGTGCCTTTGCTGTGGTTGTTGGGTATGTCTCTGGCTTATCTTTGAGTTTTAACCTACTTTGAGTTGGTTGGCCCCACAAAAAATAATAGCTTGCTTTTCAAAACAGCTGCTGTTTCTGATTCTGTATTGGCAGTTGCTTTTTTATAACTGATATAGGTCTGACTCAGAAGAGTGGGCCCTTTAGAGCAAGAATTTACCAGAGAGCACTAGGTTTAGATAAAACAAGCAAGCTTTTACTAGGGACTCATGCATGAAGGAACCAGAGCCAAAAAAATTAACCTGGTCCTTGAAGGTAGTAAGGAAGAAATCTGAAGGCAAAATCCACAAGGCAGGGAGGAGAGCAGCTTGTTTTGGGGTGGCCTACACCCAGGTAGGCTCAGCCAGGTTATATTCTACTGTGCATACGCAAATTTCTCCCTCTGGAAATTGTAAGATGATAATTAGTCAGGATCTAACATTTTCTGTCTGTCATGGCTCCTCATTGTCAGAGGGGTTGGTCAGATTGTCGGGACACGATTCTCAGTCTGTGATCTAGCCCACCTATTCAAACAGGGCTGGGGCAGCTCCTCCTACCAGTTCACCATTTCTTTTACCTAGGCTGTCTAATTGAATTATAACAACCCTGTAAAATGGGTGGAAATACTCTAATTTCATAGCAGAGTGAGGCCTTGAGAAGACGATCCATATGCTGAAAGAATACAACTAAGAAGGGGTATACACCTGACTCCAATGCCCAACTTGTTCTATTGCACTTTCCATAGGTAGTTGCTCTCTGTCAAGTTCCAGAACAACAACATCATGCTTTTCTCCAACTTCTCTATTCTCATTTCACAACCGTGTTATTCTGTCTCCTCTTCAGATGGTCTACTAAAGTTAAATTTAAAAATTGTTCCAATGTGTTTAATGCATACTTTTTTTTTAAAGATTTATTTATTTATTTGTACAGAACGGGGGTACAGGCCAGAGATGTGGAGGGTGAGAGGATTCACCAGGGACAGAGTGGGGAGCAGAACAGGCAGATCGATGAAGCACACTGCTGAGGGGAGCAGCGGGCAGGTCAGGAAAGGTCTGCCACGCCATGTGGTCACCTCTGGGGCAGGCGGGGATTGAACTCATGTGGAAGTGGCTTAAGCTTCTTAGTGCTGTGCTTTAACCCACTGCACCACCAGGGAGGGCCTAATGCATACTTTTTTATTGGGGAAAACTGAAAACTAGATTTCAGTCAGATATTATGGATACACATTCAAATTCTCCATTTATCTTTTCTTTGCTGCTGCTGCTGGCATTGTCATAGAGATTGTAACCTGTATCACTAAGCTGGAGGCGATAGCACTGCTACTTCATTTATGTTCTCCTATCTTTAAAATGAATGAAAGTTTTTCATTTTTAACCCAGAAGTATCACAATATTCAGGCTTTAAAAAAATGCAATTCATTTTGCACGGTCTGACGAGTGCATTATTATTTTATCCACTTAATTACCACAATTCAACTTGAAACAAATTTCTAAACAATGAAAATATATAAACGCATATATTTCAAATATCCAAGAATTCCAAAATATAGAAACTGCTGCCACCTCCTTTCATATTTCAGAAGTTGATAAATTGATACAATTCAGAACTTTAAGAGATTTTAAGTCTGAGTTATTAGAATACAAAGCAACTTAAAGCTCACTGATTTTTAATGGGTAGGAAAATGTCATAAAGTAAATACACTGATGAATAGTGAACTTTTTGTAACAGCATGATAATTAGTGCAATTAGACATTTTCCCCTCACATTTTATGCTCTGTAATTTAATGTTCTCATTCACAAAATGGTGTCATTGTCACAATTAAGGGTTGCTATGCCTGCAGTCCGGTCCAGAACATTTCCCTGTTTTCCTGGGGTTGCCTCTCATGCTCTCACCCTAGATCTTGAAGGTTACTGGCAGGAATTCGCAGCTGAATGCCATCTAATGCTGTCTGGCTCAAACATAGCCCCCTTAGCTCTATCAAACACCAGCCTTTGTGCACATTTAATTCTACAAGCTTAGAAACACCCAACTTAGCTGATAATGCTACCATTTAAAAGTTACTTTGTTGACAATGTATGTATAAAAACACTAAAAAACACCTAAAAGTTTCATTGGCTTAAGGAAATTACTTGTTCTTCTGGAGGAACTAAGATTTCCATTAGAAATTAATATTAATTAACTATTAGAAATTATTAAACTGATCCAGAGCCATCATTTTTATTATAATAACAGACACCCAAGTAGGAATAGGTATGAAAATTCATGCCAGCTCACTTTTCATTTTTTTCTCCAAAAAAGTTTATAAAAATTTTAAATTTGAACCCTGTGTTAGTTTTAAAACAAAAGTCAAGGCACACAACAAATGATCAGCTAAAATTACTAAAATTTGTTCAGCTGAAAGACTAAAAATGCTCAAGAACAAGAACGTAAAATTTGAAGTTGATTAAAAATTTTACTACCAGTAAGCTGAAAGCCATCTGATCTAATGGTAGCAGTTGAATATAAAATGGAAACATGTTATCAGATGTTAAACGCATTTTTAAAGTAACTTGAAGCAAGAACAGCAATTAAAACACACACACACACAATCCTCAATCTTGACATATTTCACTTACTAAAACTGATTTGTGTTTATCTTCCAGGTAAAGATCTTGTGCTTCCCCTGCCCCCTGGATCAAAGGTGCTCTGACTAACAACTGGAAATCTGAAAACAGTGCCAGAAGAAACTTCAGGAGAGAGGAGTAAGGAGAGACATACCGTGCAAATATGAGGCCAATGTTCAAACTGCTGTAAAATTCCCTGATTAAGTTCTTCTTTATATAGCTGTTTGTAAAAATGTGGAAGCTTAGATATCCAGATACCATTGTTATGCTTGTGTAGAATTTCCTTTATGCGGTTTTGAACCTCATCCATTTTGTAAGCATGAGAGGCAGGAGGTGTTGCGTTCAGTTTTTCAACAGACTGATTTAAATTATCTTTAAAAAGGAAAAAAAAAGTAGAATTAACCAAAATGCTTAACATTTTAGAATATCTTCATTTCCTAATTTTAGGGTAATATAAGGAATTTAAATTTTCTATACACCGAAAAATACCTAATTGAACCAAGGGAAGCAATAATGTTAACATAGTTGCAACTTTAGGCTTTGCTCTACTTCTGGCTTGTGAGGTGAAGGGACTTCAAGGGAGCAGTGTTTGGCAAAGTGCAATAATTCAACTTCGTTTTAAGTTTCATGTGAAGTAATAAGCAGGGTCAAGTCACCTACAGAGATAAACTGCCTCCTTTGTTTTTCAAGGGTGCTTCATAGTTTAATTTAAACAAGAGGATGGTCTTGCTTTGAGAAGTATAAAATTTATTATTTAACCAGCCATTGTCTAATAGTAACAAATAACGTTTAAATTTTAAACAATAATGGCATATTCGCAATTCTGAATTTAAAAGTATACTTCAAAAAACTTAGGATAACACCTAATAGAAAGACTGAAGAACATTTTATAGACAATAAAAAAATCCAGTTTTCAAGCTATGATAAGTATTCCCCTTTATTAATGAGAACCACTAATAAAGCAATACACTGAAATAAAAAAAAATCGACCCACTTGAAAAAACCACCCTAACCTCAATTTACAAACATAAATTAGAAGTATGCTACTCACAGATAACTAGTAATAATTTATTTTTATTTTCCTAGTATAAGTCATGTACCTTTCATAAGTGTACTCTAGTTAGCTGTCTTGAATTTATTTTTATTTAAAACTTGAAATGCCCAAGTTAACATCTTAAGGTAATAAAAAAAATTCGACGTGTCCACTACAGCTGGCAGTTCTTGTATTTTAAGAACTATGAAATTCATTCCAAACCTCTTCTAAAAATCACTGAGATACAGATCCAGGCACATTAAAAATTACCATCTGTAAACAAAATATGTTTATATTTTAACTACATAGTATTTCTCCTGAGATGCAAACATTTTTTATTTTATTTTGTTTTGAGTTAATCTGTAGAGACACCCAGGTTGGTTTGGAGAAGCAGGCTAGAAGGATGCCAGGAAGCCAAAGGGGGAGTTATCTCTGGGGGAGAGCTGGATACTAGTTCTGCTTTACCCACCACAGGGCATGAAACCTGGCCTCTGTTGAGACTTACTCTGCCTCAGCCAACAGAAAGATACGTATGTATTTCCTAAGAAAAGCATAACTAACTAATTTAAGTTCTTCTGAAAAGATCCTTGCCAAGGTCCTTTTTCAGAACTGGCCAGGCTCCCCCCTTAAAGAGAAGGCGTTAGCAGTGACCAGCAGTTCCAGTCTTTGGAAATAAATGCACCTGCTCCGTGGGCAACTGGAGTCACCTAAGCTTCTGAACCTCTTGGTAAACCAATCCAGGAAGTTATTAGCTAAGCTGCCAGCAGGTAGGAGAAATTATGCAGGTAGGAGTGTGACTATCAGCTCTGCCAAGTAAATCATAATCCTCCTAAAACAATCTTCTTGGTTATGCAGAAAAATTTTTAAATATTTACCTCTGTAAAAGTACACAACTTTACTGACTATCTTTCAGAAAATGGATATCTCAAAGTAATTGATATAGCCAAAAAACATAGTTATGAATTTCCATAAGAAACACTGAAGATGGGCCTTAGGGAAAAAATGATCTTAACTTAGTAAGAATCACACTTAAAGCAGCAAATCAATTAAAAACATTTAAATTTCATATAAGTACTAATTCTGAAAATACTGTGTGCCTTGGGTGGGTCTAGAAGATTTATACATTGGTTGGAGGAGACTAAACAGCAAGTGAGTGCATTTCTAGCACTCAGATTCTTTGATTTTATTATGTTTCCTTTTTTTTCTTACTAGACCTTTGGTTTTTTTTTTTAACCTGAGGAGTCAATTATATTCATATTTAGACTTAGTGCTCACACTACGCATTTCAGGGTTCCTGCTTTTCTATGGTGGAGTATTTGAATCTCTTGTATGAGTTCAAGTCCCTTATTTATACACTTTATTTTATCGTCTGGGTGAGAGGGTAAGTGGCACGGGACAGAAATTTTCCCTGCAGATGACACATGGAAATGAAACAGGGTAGGTCAGATATGAATAATGAGGATGATATCCTGGAGGCATTATTTTCTCTCAAGAACAATTCATAATGAATTAGGAAAGGAGGAGGAGGAGACATATCCCACTAGGAGGTGAGAGTATATGTGAAAAGCTAACACCAGATACTTTTCTTGGGGGGTCAGTGACTATAGTAGTCAAAATGCATGATGAAGGGAATGTTTATAAAACATACCACTTATTTCCTTAGCACAGGTTCTTGAAGGGTGCATCTGGAAGGGTGGTGGAAGAGATGCCTTTGGACTAAACCTAAGATAAAAGGGTAAGCTTAAAGTCAGTAGCAAAGTATATACCAAGTTTTACACATTGTAGGTTTAAAGTCTCTGTGGGATGGAAATGCAAAATGAATTATTAAAATACTTCAAAATGAGCAACGTGAAAAGGACACCTGGCATTAGCTTTTGTATTTCATATTCTCCTAGAAAAAGATAGTTAACTTTATAGTAGAACTTTAAAGGAATTTGGAAATCAGAATCCCAATTAATTACCTTTAAGGGACAGGCAATACGGAATACAGAATCAACTGTTGAAAATACAGAATATTTCAGAAAATAACTAAAAAATGAAGGCCTTGCATGACCAGATATTGAAATGTGTCATAAAGTCACAGCATTTAAAATAGTTGGATATGTAAGGAGAATTTAGATGCATTCAATTTACATCATATCTTGGCACAGTAAGAGCATTTCAAACCAGAGAGGAACTGCTCAATAACTACTTAGAAAAGAAGAAACACAGATTCCCTACCTCAGACCCTTAACAACCTAATTTTTATATGAATTATATCAGATCTATGTAGAAAGACAAAAAATAAAACAAACATGTGGACAAAGAATAAAACACACAGTTTCCTTCACGGATTCCAGCTATTTTAATTACCTGCATGCCAGTGCCTGTGGTCGTGCGTGGCACCTGTGAATGAGGGGGATGTGGTAAGAATGAATAGGAGGATTGAATGATTCAATGACTTCATTTTGCTCAGCAATGTGTATGAGGTTTGAATGGATGATAGTTGCACAGTACACATATTTCCCAATTTTGTAGTAGTATGAAATTATCTAAATTCATTCTTTGAAATAAAGTTACTAATAAAAGCATATTTAATATATGATACTATGCAACTGTAACAGCATTACATTTGTGCATCTGGATGGTAAGGTAAGATGACAAAATGTATCCAACTACTTTTGCAGCACTCTGTTCCCTTGAGCCAGAGCCCTAAAAAAATGTAAACTGGGCCCTCCCTGGTGACGCAGCGGGTTAAAGCACAGCACT